ACACCCCCATCTCCTCCCCCCCATCCCCTCGGTTTCTCCAGCCCCTTGTACCCGGGACTAAGTCCACCCCAGATTCCGGGCTACTGGGAGCCCGAGTCCCCCTGGAGTCCAGGTCCGGATTCGCCTAACCCTCCCTCCGTGTCGCGCGGCCACCAGGCGCCGTGCTAGCCAGCCCGTGCGGCCCAAGCGGGGTCCTTCAGGCGCTCGGCGGGCAGCCCCGCTGGGGTCCTTGCAGGGAGGCAGCCGGCAGAACCGGAAGCGGAGAGACAGGGGGGCCGGAACCTTGGGTGGCGACCGCGCTGTGGGATCCCCTAGCGCTCGAGGCCGGCACAGCTTGCGGCGGAGGGTCGCCTGCCGGTGGCGCCTGTCCCTCTCCAGCTCTCCGCCCGGACCAGACGAGGCGAGGAAGCCGTGTCGGGCGGGAGGCGCCCCTCCGAGCCTGGCTGGGGCGCCCTTCTGCGGGAGGGAGGCTGGGCCGGGGCGCTCGGGACAGGATGGGTGGTCCAGGGCGGCAGCCGGCGGGGCCCCCGGCGTGCGCCTTGCCCGACTCTTCTGTCCTGAACCTCTTACGGTTCAGGTTTCTCAAACCAGGTCCTGATGTATTGAAAACCACGTCACTGCCTGACATTTATTCAGCTTGACAGTGACCGAAGCCCTCATCTTGTAAATATTGCTGCGTTTGAGGCACCTGTTTAGCTTTCTGTGGTCACTTGCTCACTATCTAAGGACAGAGGGAGTACGTGGCACAAACCGTGTAGTTTTGGGCTGAGGACGCAGAATAGCTGATGTTTTTTGAAAGATTCTTGTTGACCAAGAAGAGTGTTTGCCAGCCCCGTTTTCTGCTTGAGAATCATTTATTGTCGAAGCAAATCAATGAGTTTGAGCCTAACTGCTGGTTCCCTCCAGGGCCACCATTCTCCTCTAAAGGGGAGGCGCTTTAAGAGGCATCCATTATGTTTTACTTGATCATCTGGGGGGTCTGCAGGTTCCATCATTCTTCGTGGTAAGCTCAGGAGTTTCCCTGCAAAAGAAGTGTCTGCTTAGAGAAATCCGACTTGGGAAAATTAAGAGAAAAATTACCACATTGGTAACTACAACCATCGTCCAGCAGGAGGAACGCTAGCAATTATTCCATGAATTAAGGCAGACTAGAGGCATTCTAAATTTCATCGTAGAGCGAAAAAGCACAGAGTGGAAGTGGGCAGAGGAGAGGAGAGCTGGTGTGGATGCCTCTGTCTTTTGGACCCCAGGGGGCAGAAAGGGGGGAGGGCAGTCATAAACTTGTTATAATCTAGAAGTGTGGACTGTCTCTCCTCACGATCTTAAATATCCTTCAGTTGAGTTTTAAAAGTTTTCGGATGTCTTGAGGAGAAAAGTTAATTTCCAGGTACTTCATAGTTTTTGTTTTGGTTCTGAGTGATGTATTATTTTTTTTTTTATTTTGCAGTTGGGTGTTACTGCTGTAAAGAAACATTATTGGTTTTGTAGGCTGATCATGCATCCAGCAGAATCAACAGTGTTAATAGTTTGCGATGCAGCCCACCTCAGGACTGATGATTATAGTATCTTCATTTTTGTCTTAGGCAGACAGAAGTACCATTTAGGAAAAAGACAAAAATGGAAAGACTTGAATAATAAGTTCATTGCTTGCTCACCTGGTGGTCCCTGGGGTAGGTGCTTTGCAGCTGTCTTCTAACTCATGGTTCCAGGTACAACAGGCTTTGTGATGGTTAATTTTATGTCAGCTTGGCTGGACCATGGTGCCCAGATATTTGGTCAAATATTCTGAATATTTCTGAGAAGGTGTACTTGGATGAGACTAACATTTAAATCAGAGAGCTTTGAGTAAAGCAGAGTGTCCTCCACAATGTGGATGGCCTCATCCAGTCAGCTGAAGGCCTGAATAGAACAAAAGACCGCCTTCCCCAAGGAAAAGAAATTCTGCCAGAAGACAGCCTTTGGACATCATTTAATGGATATCCTCCCACTTAAAAGTATTTTTTTGGAGTTTGAAATGGACATAGGGACAGAGGTTTATTTGACAAGGGTCGTGGCCAGATATAAGAAGAAGGGATTCAGCAGGATATTCTATGAATTAACCCAGGTCAAAAGGATCTGATGGAAGTAGAGATCATGCGAGTTCTCGTTACAGTTACCCCCAAGTTATGAAAAGTCTTTAAGTTCTCTTTAGTGGAAGAAGAGAACACTCAGGTTATAGAGGTTATAGACCTCCAAGTGAGTAATATGTACACTGGGCTGTAAATCAGATGAGCCTTGTGAACTTGGCACTGAAATTGTGTCAGGAGATATTGTCATAAAATTATTATAAAAGTATATAATCGTTTTACCTGCTTTACCTTCCACCTTCTTTATTTTCTCTTCCAAGATGATTTGCCCCAGTACCATTTCCATACCTTGAAACACTATAATGGTCTCTACGCCATTAGCTGAGCTCTTGCTTTTTCCCTGTGACCCTAAATTCAAAGGCACGATATCTAGAGCAGGGCTCTAAGCAAGGCCTAGACCATTCACTCCCAGAATAACCTTCCATTTCCAATTAGTATCCTTTGTCGCTATCCGATAAGTTAGACATGGCAGGGAAGAAAAGGAGTGGAATAGATGTTCTTTACTGTTGAATTATCAGGTCAAAACTCATTTCCCAGAAGATGTTATTTTTGAGATGGCTGGGAAAATTTGAACGTGAAGTATGTGTTAGAAGACGGCAAGGAACTAATTAGATGTGAAACAGCATTGTCAGTGTAAAGGGAAATGTCCACGCGTCTTAGAGATGCACTCTGAAGTGTGTAGGAGTAAAATGACATGATGTCTGAGACTTGCGTTAATTAACTTCAGCAAAGAAAAAATAATAGAAGAAGGGAATGTGGCAAACACTTTGCACTTTGTAGAATCTACGTGACAGGAATATGAGGTTTATTTATTAGTGCTTCTAACTTGACGTATGCTTGAGATTTTTCATAACAAAATATTTAAAACTCTACTTAACTATCTTTGGTATACTCCTAAAGATGAAAAGTAAAAGTGGCTACTTACACATGGCCCATCATGCAGTTTAGTTATGTTAAGCTTGTCGTATCTGAAAAAAAATTATATTTTGAAATGATTATTTTTGCTCTATGATATAAGTTATGACTAAGTTATACTTGATAAGTTTTACTTAAGTTTGAGAAGAAAACACTGCTAATAGTGAATTCTCATTTAATAAATATTTTAAAATATCCACTACATAGGTCTTTATTTGTCAGAAAGATTGAATGTATAAAACCTACTCAGCCTTAAATCAAATAAAGAACATTCAAAGTAATCTTGAATAGTAAAGTAGAATTACAGAGTATTAGAAAGAGAATGTACATTAAAGTATGCATTTGATGAAAGTTAAGGCATTACTAGTGACTTTAAAGAAATAAAAATGATTATAAGAAGATACTGTGAACAACTGTACATCAATAAATTAGATAACCTGGATGCAATGGACGAATCCCTAGAAACACACCAATTACCTAACCTGACTCAGGAGGAAAGAGAGAATCAGCAGGCCTATATCAAGTAAAGAGGCTGAATCGGTAATAGAGAACCTCCTAACAACAAAAAGTCCAAGATCAGAAGTCCTTATTGGCCGGTTCTAACAAACATTTTAAGAAGATTTAATACCCGTCCTCAAACTCTTCCAAATAATAAAAGAGGAATAAACACGCCCTAATCATTCTATGACTCCAGAATTACCCTGAAAACAAAGACATCACAAAGAAAGGGAGACTACAGGTGAGTATCCCTTACGAGCAGGGTGCAAAAATCCTCAGCTGAATGCTAGCAAATCGCAGCCAACAGGATG